CCCCTATCTGCTTTAGCAGATCAAGACGAGCCTCTGCTTTCAGTTTAATTATCTGAGGAGATAAACATGGAAAACGTTAATCAAAATTCTTTCACACCTACGTCTCACTCCTCCTCACAATTAAAATGCACTTTCTTCCTGATCCATAAATTAGACTCAGTTTCACGTGGAAAACAAGTCCAATTCTTCATCTGACTGCCTGCAGAGACGTACAATGAGCCAAGAGGCAGGAAAGAGTTTCCTAGAGGTTGAAAAATACCAGCATATTCAGATTTTGCAAATTGGGCTCTTCAATCTCACATCTCTTCATTTATAAAAACCTCCTTATTGGGTGTGAACAGAGATTGCATTTCTCTGTGAGAAACCCTTTTGTTCCAGGATCCTACCGAGTCTGTTGTCCCACTTGAAGTGCCCATGAAATACGCGAGAACAAATGTGCTAACACGTTTTCTAAGGGCAATGCTTGTACCTCTAGGTTAATCGCAGTTCATTCAACTTAATTGCCAGTCATTCCAGGGACAACCCTGCCAGGCTGTATGCTCTCCCGGGCCACTGAGCACCAATGCAGCTTGGAAGGGCTGCGTGTGTAACGGGCCGTGTCAGCTCTCCTCTTTTGTCCCAGGTTTTGACTCTCATCCGCCAGGACTGCCTCAAAGAAGACAGCCGTTTACAGCCATTTGCACTGTATCCAGGACAGTTATGATAAGTTATCTTCCAGGGGACATTTGTCATCATAAAAAAAATACATCCTATATTTAACCATGACTGCCCCTAGATTGTGGATCCTGGAGGTCCTGGCAACTGCTTTCCTAACCTGACATTTGTGTTATTTTCACAAGTGCTATTCCATGGTGGACAGACAAATCATTCCAGCTCATCACGGTTTGCTATTTCCAAAGTGAAATTGTGCAGGACTGCAATCCCTTGATATTTTTCAAATCTTTGGCTTCATTGCAGAATGGCCACTGGATTTACCAGCCAGCTCTATCCGTCACTACTTTCAAGTGCTTTGTTACTTGCCTACAGGTACTTTGGAAGCTCCACTGAGATCAACAAACTATTGTGGTTGATCCTACCTGTGTTTTACAGTCGAGGAAACTAAGCAACAATGATAAAGTGGTTTACTAAAGGCAACACAGTGAGTCACTGACAGAGGCGCGAACAGAAGCTAACTGAACTGCTTTGTAGTTTTCCGGGTACTTCCTTTCACAGCATTGTTAATTCTTAGCATGTTGCCTCTGAAGTAACTTCTCTCCTTTCTCTTGCCAGTCCTTCCATTTTGAGGCATTGTACTGTGACGTAACTGAACGGATTAGGAGGTGAAAGCTTGGCATGGGGAAACTTTCTATTTCAGATAATATATTGGTAAATCACCAGCAACAATGTGAAAGGAAGTGGCAAGCAAGATTTGGCAAAACAAATTGGTCTAGCAACTTCTCTCAACTGTCTCTCTTAAAAAAGCTCCCAGTAATGAACCACTTCCTTGTGCTGAATATTTAGTGGTTCCCAATTTGAAATGCAAATTATACACTTTGATAAACAGTCACCTAGTTTAACTGCAGATTCTCTAGAAGGCTTCTATCAGCTCAGCTAAAATATTGCAGTGCTAGCCCGAGAGCAAAACTCCTAAGTGACTCAGTATACAATTCTTCCTCTTATACATGAGCATAAACTGGGGAGAAGGGGCTTTATTCCTCTCCTGTGATAGCGGAGGAAGCGCAGTATCAAGAATCCATTTAAGAGTATATTAAAATGCTGATCTCTTCTACGCCAATTGTAATAAAACTTAAGTGTAAAGTACATATCTAATATGGATATAAAGATTTTGCAGGGATTTGGAATACTATATTGTTTTTGCTTTATTTCGATACTGCTCTGGATCATCAGTGATCTTACTTTCCATACCAAGAGAAAACAGAAGATTGTTAAAACTAAGAGAAAGTTTTAGCTAAACCTGCTAGAAATTCAACTGACTAAAACTGTTTTGCACTGGGGAACTTTCTTGCCCTTATCTAAAAATAACAAAGAGGCAATTGCAAGG